AGGGTCGGGGTGTAGCCGCTAATGGCCGCTTGCGGCGGTCTCCATGTCAGAGTGGCGCTATCCGTTTGAATGTTCAGGGCCACCAGATCTCGAGGGGCGTCCAGCTCTGGGAACACAGTGTCAGATCTGGGTCATCAAAGTTCAAAGATGTTCAAAACTATTCAAAGATTGATCCGATTTCTACTACTTGTGGTGAATTCTGTCAGGGCGGAGGCGCTCGTCTGCGCCCCCCTGGTGGCCACGAGCTCCACGGAGTAGAGAGTTCCCGGAAGCAAGGGGGCTATCTCCAACTCGGTTTCAGAAACGCGCTCCACCATCGGGGACACTGGGAAACACATCAGGAGCTCCCATCACAGCAAATCCAGGTGGAGACAATTTCAAGTCAAGTAACGGAACAGACAAACCTGACTCGGAATTATACGTTATTACGTAGCCGTCCACCGTGGCTACGGACGGTCGCCATTGCAGCCGAGCGGAGCTGTCTGTGATGTTAACCGCGGTCAGACCTTCAGGTCTGTCCAAAGCTGAGGGGGGGAACAGATATGAAGAGTCATCCGAAGGGGCTGAGGACTGAGACGGCTCTTCGGGGGCGTCGACAAACCGGTGGTTACGACGTCACCACTTGGGTCGCTCTCCTCCAGACCCTTCACCGCACTGACCGTCACCTGGTACATCCTGCCGGGAATCATGTTGGGTAGCAGAGCCTGTAGCACGTCGCCATCCACAGTTACGCTCATCGGGCTTCCTGTGGACGAGAAGGATTCTCTTTGGGCAAGACCGGATCGAGTCACACACGTGCATGCCTCAAGGTTCAAAGTCTAGCTTTCAAGCAAGTCCCGAATTCTTGTGTCATCGGCAAATCAAGTCACAGGTTATCTCGAGTCAATTCCTGTGGTAAGTCCCAAGTCGAGTCGCATTGCCAATGCGGTATTGGACAGCCAAGCTCCATGCAAAACATTTGAAGCTGCCAAGTCCACTTTTAAGACCCAAGTCTTAACTCCCAGTTCCAAGTCAAGTCTCAAGCCTTTCAGTTTTTGTCAGGCCAAGTCACGAATCATCAAAAGAGTGACCGGAGTCATCACGTCTGGCCTCGAAACCCAGGACTCATCCTTGGGTCACCAAGATTGCTCTGTAAGTCTTACCTCCCTCAAATGGCATGTACGTGATGTGATAGTTGTCTACTGCAGACTGAGGCGTGGACCAGTGGACCACTGCTGACGAGTCCGTCACGTCAGAGAACCGAAGGCCCTTTGGAGTTGTCAGGCCTGGACGAAGAAAAAGGAGTTCAAATGTTAGAGGTGGCTTAGACTGAAGTGGTCTGGCGTCGGCTAGCCTCCATCAGAGTAATTGGTGACTTAACCCAGAGGTTAGTATGAAAGCAGTGGATCCAATTCTGAGATGTTACTATGGAACCGGGGGATTGAGTTCAAAAGCATCCAAAAGTTTAGTACAGAAGCAGTGGATCAAAGTCTGAGACTTCCCAGAATTAACATGTGGTCAATGGACTGAGTCCTGAGACGTTAGTATCGAACCAACAGATCCAGTTCTGAGGAGTAGCAGATGTTAGTATTGAACCTGTGGACCCAGTTCTAAGTCGTTAGTATGGACTCGGGGGTTCCCGTTCTTAGGGTTCCCAATAGTTACTATACAAGCAGTTCATCCTTTTCTAAAGGGTTGCAGAGTTTAGTATAGGACCAGTGTATTCCATTCTGTGAGGTCCCAGAAGTAAAAAAAAAAAAAAAAAGCCATAGGAAGGAGTTTCAAGAGCTTAGTATGGTTCCAGAGGTTGATGTAGTTCCCGTTCTTAGGGTTCCCAATAGTTACTATACAAGCAGTTCATCCTTTTCTAAAGGGTTGCAGAGTTTAGTAAAGGATCAGTGTATTCCGTTCTGTGAGGTCCCAGAAGTGTAAAAAAACAAACAAAAAAAAGCCATAGGAAGGAGTTCTAAGAGCTTAGTATGGTTCCAGAGGTTGATGTCCAACCACTGGATCCAGCAGTTCTACGAGGTCCCAGAGGTTAATAAAGAACAATCGGTTCCAGTGGTGAAAGGTTTAAGAGGTTAGTCTGAATCACTGGATCCAGTTCTGAGAGGTTCCAGAGGCAACAAATCCAGGTCTCGGGGGCCCGAGAGTTTAGTATACAAAAAGCAGATCCGGTCCTGGAGGCTTTCAGAGGTTAGTCTAAACCAGCGGATTCAGTTCTGAAAGGAGCAAGCGGTTAGTATGGACCAGCGGATCCAGTTATGAGAGGTTCAAGACTTCAATCCGGAACCAGTGTAGCCGGAGTACCTGTCTGAGCAACCCCAAAGATCGGCTGGGAACGGTGGTCCAAAGAAAGGCCGTAAAGTTCAATTTCATACTCTGTGCCTGGCATGAGTCCAGTGATTAGCCTGGTTCGCTCATCGCCGTGGACCATGTGCTCCTGAGGACGGGAGAATCTTTTGCTGTCCCGTAGTTTGAGCACAAATCTGTCAAAGAGGTCTTCGTCTGCCGCCCAGGACACGCGGAAACTGTCGGCTGTGATGTCGGAGACGAAGAGGTGCTCCACTTCGGGTTCTGCCTCTGGGCCAGAAAGGAAAGTTTGTCGGTTGATTCATGTGGATGATCAAGATTTCAGAGAGAGATTAGAAAGCTCCTTCCATTTTCGAGTGGAGGCCTCAAGTGGAGGCCTCAGGATGCGAGTGCAAGTCAGTCCGAGCAAAACGAGAGGCGCACAAGCTTTTCAGAGAGTTTCAATCAAGTCACTTTCAGACGGGAGGCAATCCGCTGGCAGGAACAGAGTTTCGTGCAATGCGTCCCCCCGCCGGCCACGTTTCCAGCACATTCAAAGAAAATGAAACAGATTTGAAGTTAACTCGGCGGACGTGTCATGCTCAGTGTTTTCCTTCCTCTAATAGTTTTGCTTATTGCACTCCAATGCAGGAAAAGAATGACACGCTTTGGATTTGGGCAAATCAACAAGACGAGAGAAAGGCTTCGTATATGGACCGAGGCCCTGAGTGCTCGCACTGTGAGCGTGCCCATCTCCTCTCGTACGTAGACACCTAGAACTGAAGCACAGGTGCCCTTTTTTAAAACATCGGAAGGAAAACACACTGTCAAATATGAATGCAAACCAAGAATCTGGCTCACATTTTATTTGGGGAGGTAGGAAAAAAAGGGACGGGAACACCACAATGCCCGCTCCTGCAGCCGCACGCCAAGACCGCGACTCCGTCTTTCCTTGCCCACATGCGAGGGCATTACATTCACTTCACTCGAGTCGTGCCGTACCTCGAGCTCGCAACTCAAAAGTTTGACTGGCAACACAAAGCAAACAAAAATCGACCGAGCAAGGACTCGTAAGTGGAAGAAGCGGTGGTCCGGGCACTCGGATTGCAAGTCGAGGTACCACTGCGGTTGCATGAGTTGCAGTACGACAAGAGGGCCCCTTGCCAGGGTGCGGCCCCCTACCCCCCGCTGTTGCTACCTGTGACGGCCACTGCGGTGAGGGGCCGGGAGAGGAGCCCCGCCTTTGACACGCCCGTCAGCCTGATCTCATAGCCTATACCGGTGATAAGCCCCCAGACGTCCAGGTGGCTCTGGTTTCCTGGAACCGTGAACTTCTGAGGCTCCAGAAGCCATCCCGAGTCGGTCACCACGACGTTAAAGTGGCTGAAAGCCCCCACGGAGTGCGCCGATTCCTCCCGCGGCTGCCGCTGCTTCACTCCCCACGACACGCGGAAGCCGAAGGGGGTGACGTTGGAAATGGTCAAGTTTTCCACTTTGGGCAAAGGTGCTGGAGGAAGGGAGGAGTCGAGGGAGTTGGCGGTGTGTCATCAGTTAGCATGCAGGCAAGGCTAGCAACAGCAAATCTGCAAAGTGTCTACTTGGTTCATTTCTCGAATAAATAAGTCTGCAAAGTGCCCTGTAGAGTAACACCCCGCCACCGGTAAGGGGATAGGGTCCGCGCCAAAGACTCTCCGTAACTTCCACTAAGGCTACGCATAGTCCGGCGCCCAACACACCAAGGTGTCTCTCAGTCAAGCGCATCACTTAAATGTTCTTCCTTGATGCTGTACTACTTGATCATCTCGGAAGGCCTCGGGCTGAATTTGCATCTTGGCTCATTTCAGAAAGACAGCTCGTAGGTACATTTGGGAATGACAAACTGCAAACATGCGCGGCATTACTGTACTTCGTAGGAGCGATGTATCGTTCAGGTTCTTATCTTAGGCTTTGTTCACACTGCCGCAGAGATTTCCAGACCAGAAGTTTTCCTCAATGCCCAAGTTCCGATTCTTCAAAATGGGTACTAGACCCTCGTTTGGGTGACATCAGCATTTATTAAGAGCAAGAGTTGTGACGACGATGACAGCAGTGTGAAAAAGCAGTCTTCCCTCCAATCGCAACTTGCCCGGGTCCATGCGTGATGGAACGCACGACATCCGACTCTGGGGCAGAAGCTGACAAAAAGGGATGCGTCTGGCTGGATTTTGAATCCCACTGCTCATACTTTGACATTTGTATTTCTTTGTCTCGACTTCACCTGCGGGAAAGCTACTGGACGTCAATGCCACCATGCTAGTACCTGGTGTGTGGATTCAACAAATTCGAACTGGCCTCAAATGAGTTCTGCTCTAAGAACCAAATTTGATGCGGGGGCAGTGTGAAGAAGGCCAACATATTGCGCGGCTCTAATAGTTACACGACTCACCAAAAGTTAACGCGATTCAGCTTTGGCTGACATTTCAGGACGAACCTAAAATGCGCGAAAACCATGAAAACCTGTGACCTCCATTTTATTTGACTTTTTTCTGGCCAACCTTGTGCGGGTCGGGTTAAAGTCTCGGGAGTGCCAGTTCTGCATCTCTCGCTAATCTCAATCTGGTCTCATTCAAGACCAATCCTCCTAATTTCTGATGTTGGCTTCATGCGGTGAGCAAAGTGCTGAGAACAAGAGTGAAGCTGGCGGGTACCTGTGATGGCGTGGACTAGCGTGGAGGGAGTGCGGCGGCCGTGAGAAAAGCCATAAACTTCCACGTTATAGCTCGTGGCGTCCATCAGGTCGGAGACAGTAACGTTTGCGGCGTGGCCGGGCAGTCTGAACTCCCGCGGCTCAGACTCTTGCTCGGCGTCACCGACTCGGACAACAAAGTCATCAAAGTGGCCGGAAGCAACGCTCCAGCTCACGCTGAGGTTATGCGGACCGGTAGAGAGAGCGGTCACGGGCCCCAAGAGGGGGGCGTCCTCTGAACACAAAGAAGAACACGCCAGTTGAGCGGCATCTGGATGCGGAGCCACCGGGGCAGTGGCTTTGCTCCCTACCTGTTGTAGCAACAGCGAAAAGCGGAGGCGTGTTGCGGCCGCCGGCACTGGCGTACAGCTTTATGTCGTAGCGTGTACTGGCTTTAAGGCCGGCCATGACCGTGGAGCGCGCCTGGCCCGGCAAGGCCTGACCCATTGCCTGCGAGGGCAAAGCAGACTCTCTGACTTCAACTACAAAGTTATCAAACGCCTTGGCGCCCGCCCGCCACGTCAGCGACACGCTGTCTGAGGTAACGTTAGCAACAACTAGCCGGGACAAATCTGGCTCTTCAGCTACGAGAGGAGAGAAAGAGATATACAGTACATGATTGTCAAACTAAGAGGAGGCACAAACGAGGTCGCTGTGGTGTCGTCCCTGCAAAGTCGTCCAAAAAAAATCACAAGTGTCACTGTGCTGAAGTCGATTTTTAAGGGGACGACGGGGGGGAGGATCCGCCCACCTATCGAGCGTGGGGAAACATTCATCGGTTTTCTGAGCTGCTCATCCTCACTCGCGCCACGTGCGAACAGGAGACTGACTTGCGGTGAGAGACGGTGCGTGCCCGCCCCGGAATGGTTGCGAGCCAATCGCGTCGTATCATGAGACTAACTAAAGACGCTTTTTCATACTTTCTCCATCCACACTTGAGTAGCGAGGCTCAATAAATATACGATCTTGTGAAGCAACCCGTGCCCGCCCCGGAATGGTTGCGAGCCAATCGCGTTGTACCATGAGACAAACTAAAGACGCTCTTTCGTACTTTCTCCATCCACACTTGAGTAGCGAGGCTATGATCTTGTGAAGCAACTGGGAATACAGGGAAACGTGGTCATGTCCGAGTCAAAAGCTAAGCCGAACGGCAACTCTGATGACCGCTAAACACTCGAGTGTCGATGCCGTGGGCCAATGGTTGGCAGTGCTGCAAGTGCCAAATGCGCAGATCTGCACGCTAGCTGACTAAGTGTCATTCTGCTGATGAAGTGTTGCCTCCAAGGCTGAAAAAACAAAAGATGCGAACAGGCGTCTGTTGACGGGCAGCAATACGGGCAGGCGTGAAGGGAGTGGCCTAAGATCCGGAAATCAGGAAGACCATTTGAAGCATACGAAATCCTTCGCAGGGACGACAGCAACACATTTTTCTAGAATCTTACTGCCGGTTATTTCTTTTTTGTGGGGGTAGGGTAGGGAGTACACATGAAATACCTGTGGTCGCAACAATACTGACGGCGCCCGTTCGGGCTCCCTTGTACGTGCCGTAGAGGTAGGCTACATAGTCCGAGTCGGGCCGCAGCCCCGAAACCTGATGTGCCGTCGCGAGGCGGGACAGGTTATACTCCCTCGGCTCCATCAGCCAATCCGAATCGATAATCTCCAGGACAAAACCATCCAGGTGGCCCTCGGTGTGATCCCAGACCACCAAGAAGCTCTCCGACGTCACGTTGGACACGAAAAGTTGTCCGAGCGACGGCTGACGCGCTGAAGGGAGACACCATCGTTAGACCTTTTGGGCTTTACCTTACTAAGATCCCCAAATGGTGGGTGGCAAATTGCTCAACCACCATGTTTGACTCCGTTTCGATTTGGCACGAATCAACCGACTATGCCGAACAACCGTGTCGTTTTATCCAGAAACTGCTTCCAGCTACAGACTTGATCTGGAAGGGATTCAAGTGACTCGGAATAGCTTCATCCGGAGCCCGCTTGGATCCGGCTCCTGCGATTGGTCGGTCTACGTTTCCCGGGGGGTGTGGCTTCCACCAAAGTAGAACAAGTCCAGCATGTTTTTGATTTGTCCAAACGGCCATGATAAGACGGCACAATGAGGTGGCGGGAAACGTGACCGATTTGCTTTTGCCGTGGTTGCGGCGCGTCAATGCAAGGGCGGGGCCGAGCTTCGTGCGTTTGGATGGAAGGATGGGACGCTTTCGAGGGGCGGGCTTCTCTGTGCGCTGTGTGATTGCGATGTGCGCGAGGCATGCCGCCAGGAGATCGGCGCCACTCAAGACAAGTGATGGAAACACAAAAGAAAGAAAAGAAGAAAACCAGAGGAGTGGACGGGACTAACGACAGGCAGTGCGGTTGAAGCAAATCGGTGATCATTTCGACGTCACAAAAAGTTTGGGGACATTCGGCTTTTGGGTGAAGTTTTGGAAAGGCGAATATCCTCACTTACTTTTGGTGAGACATGCACCATTGGCTGAAAAGTCTACACACCCCTGTTCAAAAGCAACCACGATAAATCATTTCAAAACTTTTGGAATCTAAAACGTTGAGGGTATTGCTAGAAAGCAAATTAAATGGGCAGAAAAAGCCTACTCAATCATCTGAACTTCATTTGGGGTGGAGAGAGGTACTTTCAATGGTGGCAGGTGTGTGCCAACTCCAGTTTAGATGTTTCAACGTGACTTTTTAAAATCAGTCACATCCCGGTTAAAATAGGGTATGCACACTCGTCCAATCGCAGTATCGCACTTGTTCATTTTTATTTTGCCTCTTGAAAAGATTGAACCAATTCACTTGAGTTGTGCAGGACAGTTGTTGTTTTTTTTAAACATAAGCAGCTGACGTTTGGGTGTGTAGGCTTTTTATATGCACTGCGTGTGATTTTCATGCTCATGACGTTTTCCTCATGTGGTTGCATGTTGAGGTTACAAGACAAGCAAACGAAGGGGGGGGGAAGAAACAAAGAAAGAAACAAAATCAGCATATCCGCATTAAAAAGGGTCCAAATCAGCCGCCTCCATTCCACGTCCGTGAGGGATCATGCTGAGCATGGCAGCCATGCACTGATGTTGATTCCTGAATGCCGATGACATCACTGAGCAAGGTTAAGTGGCGCTGTGTGTCGCGAAGCAGTTACGGGCGCAAACAGTAGCGAGGCGAGGCCGCCCGTACCTGTGGTGGCTTCGGCAAACACGGGCTCCAGGAAGACACCTTGGTAGAGGGGGTAGAGGCCCACCATGTAGCTGGTGTTGGCGTTCAGGCCCCAGAGGCCCAGGCTGAGCGCGCCGCCCGACACGCTCAGGTTCTGGCTCTGCGCCATATTGTCCAAGTTTGTCACCTCCACCACCAAGCTGTCAAAGTCGCCGCCCAAGGGGCTCCAGGAGGCCGTAAAGCCGTCCCATGTGACGTCAGAGAAGGTGAGGTTGGCCACCGAGGGCCCGGCTGCCTCTGCTGGGTGACACACAACCAATGCTAAAGGCAGCGCGGCGCTGTGGCTCGCAAAATCGCAAGATCCTGGAAGCAAACCAAGCTGAGCGATTGACCGTTCGCTAAGCAACAAACGGGCTCATCGCGGCGCGGCGCATCGCAAGATCCTGGAAGCAAACCAAGCTGAGCGATTTGACCGTTCGCTAAGCAACAGTCGGGCTCATCGCGGCGCGGCGCGGTGCGCTCGAGGCCTGCTTTGGAACTACTCCAAACTTGAAAGTTGCGGCTGGTCGATTGAGAAAGGCTGGAAACCGCCTTGAGAAAGAGCAAGAAGCAGCGTAAGAAGAAAAGTCTTGGAGTCGCTCCTCTGTGTGAAACCACAAATTTGGGCGCGCATTCCTTGTAAGTAGCAAAACATGAGCAGTGGCGGGCCCTGCGTTCTGTACCCGCGCCTTCAGTGGGGACACGATCCGACTCTTCATAGCGCCGCTATCACACTCTAATTGGCCCACCACCGCTGCTCTCAGAGCTGTTTGCCTCCAGAGTTCATCGCAACCAGACTTGTTTGAGTGTAGATGTGGGGCGAGGGGGGCGGGGGGCTCCCATTTCCATCTTGGCTCTCTTCTTACTTCCCGGTACTGAGCTCACATGACCTCGCGTGCACAGAGAAGTTCTCGGAAGACCCCTTGGACGCACACCAGCCAGCGTTAACGCTTGGCATTTGTGACGTTCCAATCGGCCGGGGGGGAGGAGAGATGTTATTTTTCTGTGCGGACCGTGTCGTTGCCGCGGTGAGCGCATCTGGAAAAACTTGGAAAATCCACTTCAGTTGAATGCGGACAACTGGACTCTTCCTGGCTGTTGAAGATGGCTCCAACTGAATTCAAAAGGATTCTTCAGTAGTTTTACATGTGGGGTCCCCCTATTCACGTCCCTGGCGGATGCGTCCCCCTCAGGGTGGTCGCGCGAGCGTTGATGTTGTTGGCCTGCCTGGTGGCAAAAAGGGCTCCCAGGTGGCCACTTTTCCCAGCGGAATGAGACAATCCTTGTGAGGGGGATGTCAGCGCTTTGTTGGAAGTAGTGACGGATAAGTCATGGCATGATGCTATTCTCTCAATAGGGGGCCCTCTCTAGTTTGACATCCGCGGTTTATTCCACACTGCTTTCAAGTCAGCGGACCTCTCTGGAAAGATATGGTGGAGATGCCAATGAACTGCTGACTCTGGAGCCAAAGATGTTGGCCTGCTATGCTGTGCCACGCCTTTGCTGAGGTCACAGCATTCTTCACGACCCCGCGCTGCATAAATGCTGTCGAGTTTGCATCTTGGGATCCTGTCCCAGAGGTGAACAACCAAAAGGAATCCCGTCATCTCGATTCAACGTTTGCGAGTATCATGAGAGACAAGGCTAGAAAGGCAAGTTCAAAAGACCCCAAATGTACCTGGAAGGAAATCGGCGGGTTAAGGTGGTGCCCCCCCACCCCCCACACGCATACGCCCACCCCTTCTGGCTCCACCCACCTGTGGATGCATTCAGAGTGACTGGCGAGCTCATCCTGTGGCCTCGCTCCGCCGTCAAAGTGACGGCGTAACTTGTCGCCGGCGTCAGGTCGGCTAAGACGAAAGTCGTCTCAGAGGGCGCGATCTCCGCCTCCTCGACTTGTCCGTCTCTGGAGACGTACACCAGCCGGTATCGCGACACCTTAGCGTGCGGCTTCTCCCATCGGATGCGAATGGCCGTCTCTGTGGACTCGGTTTGCTCCAGACCTCGGGGCGGGTCCAGGTCTGACGGGAAACCGTCAATCACGAATCCTTTTTTAAAAATGTTTCTTCCAGATCACAAAGTGACTCACTCACCGGTCGCTGCATTTATGGTGGCCGGGAGACTTTCCCGCTCGTTCTTCACGCTGGTCACTCCAACGCCGTACTCGGTCCCTGGCTTTAGCCCTGGACAACCGACACATTAACTTGTCCAGAGGTGTCAAACTTCAAGAACACAGACCAGATCCGGCCTCACCGTCGTCACCCAGCACCCCAGGGGCAACCATCAATGACTACGATGCGGTCCGCGATGAAAACAAGTTTGACGCCCACGGTCTCGTCTCTCCTTTGAGAGTTCAACTCCGTAGGGCGGACTTACCCGTGATGGTGGCCGTGGTGCTTTGTCCAGGTCCGCGCGGGAACACTTCCTCCCCGTGAGCCGCACCGGATAGTGGACTGTATTTCACACGATAGCTGTCCACGTCGGCCAGAGTGTTGCGCCACATCAGGGTGATGCTGTCTTCTGTCTGCCGCACGGCCAGCAATTCCCTGGGGGCGTCCAGCGCTTCACAGAAAACAACACCCTCGTGTTAGTCGCTTGGAGGTGGGAGTCAGCCTCAAGTCCTCACCATCAAGCTTAAAGCGAGTCCCACGTTCCCGTGACAACGTTTCAACTCAAAACTTGCATGAAGCCAAGTGATGAAGCATGCCATATGATATGAATGACTTTGCCTTTGTCAGAAGTGGGAGTAACTCAAGAATACCAAGTCAAAGTCAAGTTGAGATGCTGGAGTTTTAGCCAAGTAAGTACCAAGCCTGAAAAACTGGTGACTTCAGTCTGACTTGCGTCAAGTCATGTGGCTCGAATCCCCCACCTCAGTGACACGGAACCGACAGTTTGACAGTTGTCCGTATTGAGCCGACCTGTAGTAAAGGTGGCGACGGCCGGCTCGCTACTGACGTCTTGGCTGCGGGCCACAAGCGACACTGTGTACTCGGTGTCAGGCTTCAGGCCCTCCAGGCTGTGCTGCCCGTCCGGCGGGAAGATCTCCACTTTGGCGCCCTCGGAGGAGGCTTGGCTGGGCTTGTAAAACAGGGTGACCCGGTCCGTCGGCGCCACCGGCTTAGACCAGCTGATCAATGCAGAGGAGTCGCTCACGTCCAAGACTTGGAGCTGCTGCGGGGCGTCGATATCTACAGAAGAAAGGGTCACGCCATCAGTGACTACTCGCAAACCGTCGCTTGTCGGTTGGTAGTTTGCAGCGGCTTCTGTCACATTGCGGTGTACCTAAATAACAAGAAGGCTTGAGAGACTAAGATCGAGACTTTTAGGGCTTGGGACCAAGTCAAGACCGAGATTTTGAAGGCTAGAAACTGAAGCGAGAGCAACGCTTTCAAAAGCCAAGACCAAGTCAAACCTGAGAGTTTGATCGTTGAAACTAAGTCAAAACCAAAATTTCGAGCGGTCGAGACTTTGAATTGGTGTTGAGACTGAGTCACGACCAAGACGTGAAAGAGCCAAGACTGACACTTGATGTGAAAGTTCACATCCAAATTTTGTCTGATGACGGAGTTGAGCTCAAGCATGACCTTGAAGTCCTTTTTTCCAGGTGCCCCAAGGAGCGCTCAGCTCTCATGTCGGGGGAACCTGCAGTCTCAGCCAACTCCAAGATTGAAAATAATGCTTTTGAAATTTCACAGTCGGTACTTTTGTAAATCAAAGTATGGGAGTCAGTCCCTTCTTTTCAACGCACACGCGAACACACAAAGAATTGTGCTTGAGCACTTTTGGCACCTCTGGGTGAGGACGCCCTCCACACTGATTGCTGGGAATAGCAATCGATTGAAGCTAAACTCACTGGTTGTGACTCGTCGGATCGCCGGTGGTCCCGTGGCGTTGTTCTTGATCACACTGATGGACACCTCGTACTCCTGACCCGGCCCCAGACCCGACTGGAGGAAGCGCTTTTGAGAGGAGGGAACCGTGCTGACCACCTTTCCGTTTTCTTCTTTCTTAAAACCAAAACAAAACAAATACGAGTCAGACGAGACAAAGGAGAAGTGGAAGGGCAAAAACAAGAACTCTGAACAATGTTACAGTCTGTGATCCTGTGACAAATGAACTCTGTCAGCTGTGCGTCTTGAGCTCTTCGAGTATTCGTCTTGAAGCGGTCTTCCATTCTTCAGGTCTCGGCGCTGACCGCATCTTAACACCTCAAAGTCTTGATCTCGATTTGGTCCCAACCTCTCAAAGATGGCCTTGGCTCTCTAAAGTCTCAACCCCTCCAAATCTTTGTCTTGCCTTCATGTCACATTCTTCAAGTCTTGGTCTTGACTTGATCTTGACCCCTCAAAGTCTAACGTCTCGGAACTGATTCAAACCTTCAACGTCTTTGTCTTTATTTCATCTGGTCTCTTTAAAGTCTTGGCGATGTACCTCGTCTTGACTACAGCGCCCCTCTGACGTACCAGCCACAAAAGCCCAGCAGTTGGTGGCTCAGAATCAATGCAACTTTTCCACACGTCCACAGCAACGCCGGCGACGACATGAAATCCAAATTGTGGCGAGCAAAGATTTCCAGGAAAACGGGCTGGCTGAGCAGCTCGCGGCCATAAAATCCCGGGAAGGCTTTGGGAGGGGACCCACCATGTTACGGAAGCAGATCTCCCAGCCGTCGAAGGGAACGTTCAGCTGCTCCCACTCAACCTCGACGGCGGTCTCTCTCACAGACGTGAATCTCATACCTTCTGGCTGCGGAAGAGCTGCAAGGATTCAAACCAAAACCATCAGACAACTTCGAGAATGCTTTGTCTGCAAAAAGGGAAAATGCGTTGGAATGCTGAAGCCAAATAGAAACGCCGTGCAACTGAACTTTTCAAATGTCAAATGTGAGACTCAAAGTTGAAATGCTTCGCCTCTCTAAAGACAGACGTCAAGAGGAGGTAAATGTCCAGACTATTTCCTAACTGGGGAAAATCTGCCAATGGGAGAAAGTGTTCACGAGAAGATGGAATGGTTTCAGTTCATCAAGATATGTGGAAGGAGGTATGCAAGATATCTCAATTTGGGAACCTCATTGTGAAAATGTGGATTCGAAATGTGGAAGGAGCTCAGTTGCTTGAACGACTTCGCACGATGACATTTCGTCGAAGGAGTCGGAAGTCACACGTGAGCCTTTTGGTACCTGTGGCCACGCTGGCGCCAACCGGCACGCTCCTCTCGTTGCCCAGGACGGCATATACGTTAACGCGGTACTCCAAACCCGGCTCCAGGTCTTTGAGCGCGGTGCCAGTTCGGTCTCCCGGCACGGTCAAGTCCGAAAGGAGCCCGCCGGGCTGAGTGGGCCCGTACGTGACCAGGTATTCGGCCACCAGCATGTCGTTGATCCAGGATAAGTTCACCGTGTCCGACGTGACCTCACCCACGGTGAGATCCTTTGGAGGAGACACTGGAAAAAAAAAAATCAATAAAAAGTTGGAACTTTCTCATGGTCCGATGCACACAAGCTAATGCGAGCACCAGAGAAACATCTGGAACTTGTGAGAGAGATGCCAAAAATAGAAAAAAAAAAAAAAGCGCTCACATGAATAGATTTTGGAGGGGGGGGGGGATGGGGGGGGGGGGACTTTAAAAAAAGCTTCCAACCATATATTAGGTAAGACAATTTCGAGCAGTGGTTCTGAAACTGTTCCAGGAGCCATAAATTGGGGGTCAGAAAAATCATTTCTGATGTCATTTAAAAAAAGGTGCATAGCTACATGTGGGAACCGGCGTGCCAATAAAACTAACATGCACAACACATGACAAAAGCCCAGATGTTGTGGGGGGGGGTGTTCAGCTTTTCTTGAAAAAGAAGACCCCCCCCCCGTTAAAAAAAACTTGAATTTGTTCTTGTTATATTACAAGGTAGATTTAAAAAGAAACAAAACATGAACTTGGCACCATCTTGGTGCCAAGGAACCATGGGGAAGTTTGGGGGGCGGGGGGCAGCTTCATTTTGAGCACGTCTGTGAGAAAAGTCCTGCTCCACCACCATTTTTTGGCATCTATAATCAAACCTTTGAGAAACCCTGGTTTCGAGTCTTCAATGATGGAAAACTTGTTGGGGTGAGCTTACCTTCGGAGCAGTCATCTGTGATGTAGCCCTCGTCGCAGGCGCACTGTCCTTTGACGCAGAGTCCTCTGTTGTGGCACCCGTTGAGGCAGCTCCGCTCGGCGCAGCTCTCCCCTCGGTACCCGCTCTCACATTCGCACCTTCCCCCGACGCAGCGCCCCCTGCCGTTGCACTTGTCCGGGCAAGTGAGCCGGGAGCAGTCGCGGCCCGAGTAGCCCTCCTGACAGACGCACACGCCGTCGTCGCAGTGGCCCCGAGCCAGGCAGTCGTTGGGGCACGCCTTCCGGCCGCAGTCCTCCCCGGCGAAGCCTTCGTCGCACACGCACTGTCCGTCGAGGCAGCGCCCGCGATTTCGACAGCCGTTGGGGCAGCCCAGCAGGGCGCAGTCGTCCCCGCCGAAGCCGGCGTGGCACTCGCAGCGGCCCTCGACGCAGGCCCCGCGACCGTAGCAGTTCGACGGGCAGGTCCTGACGCCGCAATCCTCGCTGCCGAAGCCTTCCTGGCACACGCACTGGCCGTTCACGCAGCGCCCCCGCCGGAGGCAATCGTTCGGACAGGATATCTCGCCGCAGTCGTCGCTCCGGAAGCCAACGTCGCAGGCGCAGCGCCCGTTGACGCACTGGCCTCGACCGTTGCAGTTATTGGGGCACGCCAACTGGCTGCAGTCATCGCCCTGATAGCCGTCGTCGCAGATGCACATCCCGTTGAAGCAGGCGCCTCTGTCGTTGCAGTCATTGAGGCAGGTGAGGCGGGAGCAGTCTTCACCGCC